GCAGGGCGTGAAGTCACTCCACACATAACGTCTTCTTGTTATCTCATGCACAGCTCTCATTGTTTCAAGCACTTGACATTTTGCAATTTAAAACTGATCAGCATGCATTGCTTTATTGCAAGCCTCTATGTTACATCCTTTGCCATGTTGTCACAGAGGAAATGATATGTCATTTGGAGCCCAAAACCCACCAGCATGCCAGGATTCTTTAAAACGTTCTGTGCGCATATAGAATACAATGCAAAGTATGCAATTAGCCCAGAATTTCACATTCCACAGGTTAGACAGGGAAATGTGTGTAAAAATAGTGGCTGTGTGAGTGTACTTCATATATTATACTCCATATTCTCCCATAGATACAGTAAGAGTCTGTCACACTGAAGAGAAACTGGTTCTCTCAGATATGTGCCTGTATAAAGTAATACTTTAGAAAAGATGTGTATCAGGGTTATAAATATTCTCAAGAATCTTTTTTTAAAGGGTCCAGATGTTAAAGAATTATAAATAACTCATGGGAACATTTAAAATTTGAATATGTATTTAATAGATGGTGTATATGTATTGATAGATAGATAGATAGATAGATAGATAGATAGATAGATAGATAGATAGATAGATAGATAGATAGATAGATAGATAGATAGATAGATTCTGACACACACCTATATATATAATTCTATTTATAGTAAATATATTATTGTTCTGCTCTATACCTAGACTTCATATATGTATAAAGGGCATTGACCCAGCCTATATCTAGTACAGAGACAAGGCAACCTTAGTAGGGGTTGTAATATTTTGCCATGTACGCCATTGTTTTACTTTTATACTCACATAATTAATACAGAGGAATGTTTGTATAAATTAAAAAAGGAAGAATTTTGCTCTCACAAACTGCTGGAATCTGTGAGTGCTGATCTTGATACATATGTACCTTTTGTTGATCTAAATAATGACATAACTTTATATAGCTATAATAATAATAAACATTTTCCACTTTATTTCTAATGTGGTATTTTAACAATGATTTTGTGACTTTCCAAAACTGGAAAATAAAATGTTGTTGTACATAACACTACAAAGCAAGTATTTTAA